TATATTCCATCTGTAAACATAAATATAGTAATAAATCAAACATAAATGAGTAAATAAGATATGTTAGAATACTCTACACATAAGCCAATTCCTCAACCCGAACCGGATTACTCAATCAACGGCTTTGAACGTTATCACTTCTCACAATGCATAATGCACAACAAAGATTATTGTATGTGATTATTGTGGTATGAAATGTAGAAGATGAAGATGATGAGAACTTGAATTGACACCTCTTTCACTTTTCTTGTTTTTCTAATTTATTCAATTCATGTGAAATGAGAAGAGCAACTGAATATTTATACCAGACCAAAAATAACTGATAAAACCACCTTTTAAAATAAAAGACAGATGCAACAAACAGCAAGCGGTCGACCCATGCAGAGCGTAGGGTCGACCTGAGCTAACCCGAACAAAACAGATTGTGCAAAATACACATTTATGCGTCGACCGGAACAAGGCATGCGTCGACGCATAGTCTGAATTTTTCAACAAATACAAATTCCAACAGTATGCGTCAGCCGGTGGGTCGACCATACCTAACCCGAAGAAAATGCAAGTTTGAGACACTTATCATGAGTCGACCGGAGCAGAGGTATGGTCGACTCAAAGACCTGTATTTTCAAAAAATGCCTAATTTGATGTTTTTGACACTCTTAGATGATACCTATAATGAACCAATGAGGTTTAACTCGTATGACGCATATTTTAACAACACTAAATGCAGTACTCGAATATTTTATGCAAGCAAATGAAGCATGAGAAATAAGGTATGCTTATGCATCATGGTGATAACGCCAAACATTTATTCTTCCATGCGGCTAAGTTTTGACATCATCGAAACATGCATATCTAGTATATAAGGTTTTGTCCTCACATACTCCCCCTTTTTGATGATGGCAAAACACGTGGAACCTGTCTGTATGATATGCGACATTATCCTCCCCCTTGCTTGATGCCTTCATTCTTACTTACTCATTTGCGACGTCTTCACTTATGATCTTTATGGTTTTACTAACAGCTTGACACTTTCTCCCCCTTTGACAACATCAAAAAGAAAGAATTTCCTGTTAAGAAAGGATAAAAATAACAGATGCTCATATCAAAACACGCACAACATGTTAAACATTAACAAACATCCACACATGACGAAGTTAATGATCAAGGAACAAATAGATAAACAACACCATACAACGACAAAAATAGTAATTGTTGCTAGAAATACAATTAAGACTTTAGAAATTAACACAAGAAATGACAAATGAGTTCATGAAGCAGGACATTAACATATTAGAAATGCTTAATACAAGGCAAAATTCACAGCAACACAACAAAATGATGAAATGCAAGTATGCAGAATGCATAGCCTTCAAGGTCTCCTCCCCCTGAAATGTTGGCCTCTCCCATGATACGGATACGGTGGAGGCAGTTGAGCCTCGACTCGTTCAGTAAATTCCAAAACCATTATGTTCAATGTATTAAAGCTTGAGGCAAAAGCCCGATGCTGATTTGCAGTTGTTTCAACCAGACCATCAAACCGTTGATTAACATTAGAGGAGAATGTGTTGAAGTTTTAGGTATGCGTCTCAAATTGAGTCTGAAGTTGTGAGAGACGTTCATCCTGATCATTCATGAAGGCACGCTGTTCTAATTGCATATTCCTCATCATCTCGAGGAGTTCGGCAGAATGTTGTTGTGGGGGATTCGTGAAATGTGACGACTCTTCATAGCCCCAATTTAAATACTCCTCATAACCCCACTGCGGAGTTTCCTGATACTCTGAATGCTGTGGAGGCTGATAGTTGTCGCGTAACGAAGTCCACCCGTTATTTTGCCATTCGCCCCAACCTTGATCATTACCATGATCTGTGTTAGAAGTGTGGTCAACCCAACTCACATTTATGTGATCGACAACTTCCATTGGTTGTCTACCGCCTTGCTCATTCTGTTCTTCTTCTTCATTCTCTTCATTTTCCTCATCACTCCCATCAGAGTCTTCCAACCGAGAGGAGGTTGCTTTAACAACGAATCGGTAACGACTTTCTTCCTTAATCCATAGATAACCCATCATTGTAAGAGTCTTTTGACAGAAATCTTGATCTGGAGTGAGAGATGTATATGGAATTCCCGGAAGCTTAACTCTGGCATTATTTAAGATCTCTTGAATAACCGACCCATATGAAAGAGCGGTACCACGACCCGAGTCCCTAAGGGCATAAATCCTACTCGCAATGTAATAAGGCCAATCAATTTTGATCCTTTTTCTTCAAGATGTAGATCAAATGAACTTCGGCCTGATCAACTCGAGAGAAACCACCTTTCTTAGGCTGCAGAATGCGCGCCACAATCCACTGCAAAATTCTATCCATAAGTTTCAATTTCCCTGTAGTGACAGTTTTCGGGAATAAATCACTCGCCACAATGTCAGCTGTATACGGCTTCTTCAGCATTGAGTTCAAAGCTTCTTTGAACTCATAGGCATTAACTGTGTGAGTGTTAGTAACCTCAATGTTTGGTTCATTAGACACAGAAGCCGTATCAAACAGTTTTTGCCAAACAGCGTTATTGACACAAACCTTTGTGTTTCCTACCTTCGTGCGAAATTCAGAACCCAGAAACTTACCACGAAGACACGTGTAGAAAATCCGCACAAGGTCTTCATTGTATTTCGTATTACACTCTAGAAAGTTGTTAACCCCTTGAAAATCAAGAAGATTGATTACCTGAGGAATGTGCATTCTCTCAGCAGAGAGTCGATAGTAGGCATGTTGCTTACCACATACTGTTTGCTGAAGTTTTTGGAGAAGCTCTCGGCAAATTCAGGAGGAACCAGTGATACGGCGATCGCCGAAAGAGATGCAGATGAAGGTCTTGCAGAGGAGGAGGCTCTTGTGGATCTTTTACCGGTAACTTTTCGGGTAACCATGGTTTTTGCTTTCAAAGAGAAGAAGAGAAAATCGGTTGATGATGATTGCAAATATTGGAGAGAAATCTTGAAGATGGAGAGAAGTTTGAGACTTTGACCCTTTTGTAATATCTTCTAGGTTTTGGGAAGAGGAGAATAGTAGAGTAGCATGTGATGTAGATATCAAGTTTCTACGCAAATGTAATGATGCACATGAAAATAAGTCATAAAAGTGATTAAGAGGGAATTTTGAACGATTTTCAGAAAAAAAATTGAAAGAAATCGCGCGATGCGTCGACCGCTCTTTGTATGCGTCGACACATACTGTGTTAAAAAATGCACGTTCAAAAAATAAAAGGTATGCGTCGACTGGTAGGTCGGCCTGAGCATACCCGAATTAATTTCAATTTTGAAGACATATTTGTGAGTTAACCGGACCTTGTTTAGGTCGAATCATGCAGGTAAAACTAGCAAATTTTGACATTTTTGATCATATGGGCATACACAAAGACATAAATAAGCAGCCAAAAGATATTTTAAGCCTTCAAAAAGATAACGTACATATAATACAACATAATATGGCAAATGTAACACATAATATGATGCATTTTGTGACAACGAGTATAGAGAGAGAGAGAGAGAGAGAGAGAGAGAGAGAGAGAGAGAGAGAGAGAGAGAGAGTTGAGGAAAGATATTACCTCAATTCCAAATATAGTTAGATGAACACACACATATACTTTCAACATCTTCAATTGTTAGATATCCGATAATAAAAGTACATATAGACATAGATATGAATAAAGTGCAAGAAATTTGACTAAACACGATCCGAAATATCGAGAATACCTAGTTCCCTTCGGATATGAAAGAAAAGCTCAGTAGCAAGAGGTTTTGTGAAAATATCAGCTAGTTGATTTTTAGTATCAACATGTTCAAAAACCACATCGCCTTTCTCCACATGATCCCTAAGGAAATGGTGTCGAATTTCGATATGTTTGGTGCGTGAATGCAACACGGGATTTTTGGTAAGATTGATGGCACTAGTTTTATCACAAAAAATCGGAATACGCTCAAGTTTGAGATAAAATCGAGCAATTGTTGCTTAAGCCATAGGACTTAAGCGCAACAACTACCGGCGTATTCCGCTTCGGTGGTTGACAAAGCAACAGATACTTGCTTTTTGCTATGCCAACTTACCAAAGAGTTTGAAAATAAGTGACAAGTACCACTAGTACTTTTCCTATCCGATTTACACCCGACAAAATCAGAATCGGAGAATCCAACCAAGGAATAATCGTTTCCCTTAGAATACCATAGCCCATACTTTGGAGTACCCGAAAGGTATCTAAGTATGCGCTTAACTGCTTTTAGATGAGATTCTTTGGGAGAGGATTGATATCTAGCGCACATACATACACTAAACATAATATCGGGTCTAGAGGCGGTAAGATAAAGAAGAAAGTCAATCATACCTCGATATCTTTTTACCTCTACATCCTTACCACTTTCATTTCGAGTGAGATTTGCACATGTTGGCATTGGTGTATCAATGACTTTGGAATTTGCCATATCAAATCACTTGAGAAGCTCAAGACAATATTTTGTCTGACTCACAAAAGTTCATTCCTCAAACTGCTTGATTTGCAATCCGTGAAAGTATGTGAGCTTCCCCATCATACTCATCTTGAATTCTCTCTGCATTAGATTAAAAAACTCCCTTATGTATCATTAATAGAATTATATTATATTATGTTTGATATTCGAAACACATAAATTAAAATTGAATAAATCATAAGTTATCACTAACCAACTATAATTAACCATTTAAGAATGAATATGTGTAATGTGTATATAGACATTAGCATAGGTTCGTTACCAGTTTTTTCTTTAAAATAAAATTGCATCGAAGGGATGGAAACATTACAAATTCTGAAAATTTCTTTTATGGTAATGATAATTGGTTAAAAAATAAATAAATTAATGCAAAATCAATTATGTTAAGATGAGTTCTCTTCCCCTCAAATACACCGCTTCTCCATTTATCCACTCTTTTTCACTTTCTCTCTTTTCACACACACTGCTGCAAAACATTTTGATGGCTTCAATTTCACCCACATGTTCCCCAACTTCTCTTCAACTCCGATTAGCTTTCAATTCCTCTAAATTTCCCCTTTCTCATAATCATGCGCGTCTTCGCACCATCAACCCTCGTCTTCCACCACTTTGCTCCGTCCATAACGACAAGGGAGCCGCCTCCAATCCTAAGGCCGATGGATTCTCGGGATGGTCCGATTCATCTAATCATCCCCAAAACAACAAGGATTCATTCGGAGGTGTGTATGCTTCTTCAATTTCTACTTCTTGTTCAAAATTTAGGGGAATTCATTATGTTTAACTGTCTTATTTTTTTCCCCTAAGGCATTGACAAAAGTAACAAAATTGATTGGTTTTCATATAAGATTGAACTTGATTATTATATTCCATGTTAACAGCTATGGATGAGCGATTGTGTCTTTTCTTAACGGTTAGTAGTAGTACCAATTCCACACTACTTAATAACACTTTTGAAGTAGTTTTCTTTCAGGAGTTGTGGGAGTAGGAGTGGCTGGACTAATTCTTTTTACAGGGCTTACCTTTCTTGCATTATCTCTTGGAAAACGAAAAGGTTCCGGTAAGTACTCTCACCCACTTACTCAGATAAGCCTTGATTGTTGTTGTTTTTAAGGTTTACGTCTTGGAAATTGCAATGCATGTGACTGGAATATACAGGACTGGAGGAACAAATGAAGCCTTTGACAACACATCAGGAGCTGCATTTGTCTCCTGATGACTGTGACGACAATATTACAGGACCCGGAAATGCTGAGAACAAGTTGGTACAAGAAAATGGTAAAATGGAAGGTCAGATAAAAACATCCCGGGATTATTCTTCTCCTGAGTCCGATAACATTCAAGGTGACTATAGAACTGATGATGATTCTCATATAGGATCCGAGTATCTATACGATATTAAAAACACCTCCAATGGTATTAATGATACTTCTAATCATATATCTGTTCAAGAAGACTTGTTGCATGACTCACCTCATGATAATGACCTAATTGTTCCTAGTGAAAACCAAATACCTCTTCAAACTGAAAATACTGTTGATTTTGATAGAAACCTGCCTGTAGATACAACAGAATCTACTGCCTATCTTAAAGAAAACCAATTTAATGCTGAACCAGGAAACATACCCAATTACGACGGTAAGCCACTAGGTATTAATAATGAGCAGCAGTCGAGTGGGAGTGGAAATTCTGACATTTCCGAATCCTCATATGGTTTAGGTGCTGATAATAAGACTGAATCTGCTGGTACAGTGGTAAATCCCAAGTCAAACAACATAATTTCATATCCTAAGATTTTTACTGAAGATGATCAAGACAATATTGACCTTAACAAAACTCAACAGGTCTCATATGAGGAAAATAAATCATCTTTCGAAGAGAAGAGTATCCTTGGAAATGACCTTTTAAGTAAATCAGTATTCTCACCATCCACCAATTCATTGGTAGATGATCAGGTTGGAAATAAGAATAACGAGGTTAATAAAGATATATCTGAATCTCCAAATTCTGGATCCCTTTTCTCTGCTCCGGGCATTCCTGCTCCATCGGTAGTTTCTGCAGCTCTACAGGTGGTTCCTGGAAAGGTTTTGGTTCCTGCAGCTTTTGATCAGGTTCAGGGACAAGCACTAGCTGCATTGCAAGTTTTAAAGGTAATACTTGTCAGTCAAATATTTCAAGTCAAGGTGACTATAATACCGTGTGCATTTACCAATCAATTCTAGTTTTCTTATTTTTTTTATTTTTTTTATTTTTATTTTTTTAAACGGTGTTTTCTATATCAAGTCCTAATATTTTAATTACACATCATACAATTAAAAGAGCTGAAAATATGGGGATTTCTTTAGCTTTATTTTTCCTTATTTTAAAGGCATAGTAGGTTTGGGATTATTTTTGTAGAGCAAAATTTGTGGTAATTTAATTACTACTGAAAGATGGGCCTGTGTTGATTTATGAGTTACAGATAAAAGGAGGAGAGACATAATAAGAGTTTGAGTGTTTTTGACAACAACTTGATGATTGCATGTTACAAAAGACTGAACAGTAACCACTGTTTATAGGGATATACACGATTCCGAATTCTAAATAAATAAGGAAATTAGAAAACAAATCATTATAATAACTAAGAAATATAGAAACTAAACCTAGGAGATAATTCAAGATATTCTAAGATTACAGCCTGATCTTACAAGATAAACTAAGGTACTCTAACATAACATAAAGATATTTTAAGATATTTTCTAGTATTCTGCCACCCTTGTCTCATTATGAGTGTCTCATTTGCAATATATCTGCCTCTAATTATTTGTTATTCCATGACAGCAATTGTTTCTATTTTCCAACAATGCCCTCATTTATTTATAAGTGTCTGCCTAATTAGTAACTACTCCACTGCTACTACTTTCAACCACTCTGATTAATGAGTATTTTAGACTACACACACTATTTTACTATTTAATTCAACATAACTAGTCATTTTCTTAAGAAGTGTACATTACTTTTAAAAGACTCATAATATAAGACAGAGATAGTAACAACATGAAAATACTATTAATGTTCACTTGGTTGTCATTATTCACTTGAAAACTGTTAATTCCTCAGGTCATTGAGCCTGATGTTCAACCTGGTGATTTATGCACGCGTCGTGAATATGCTCGCTGGTTGGTATCTGCTAGCAGTGCTCTTTCAAGGTACTGATTTATTCCTTCTTTGTGTGTGATGTGAATGACAATATGTAAACCATGGGTAACTATTTTTTACACATAATATTTCCGTTACACGTGCCTCTGGGATAACTTTTCAGGAATACTGTTTCCAAAGTCTATCCTGCCATGTACATCGACAATGTTACCGAGCTTGCATTTGATGACATCACCACTGAGGACCCTGATTTTTCTTCCATTCAAGGTCAGAACTTTGGCATGATAATCATTTTTAGCAATACAGCCTGTTGGTCTATGCATATATTTGTCTAAAGAATATGTTTTCCAGGCTTGGCAGAAGCTGGACTTATTGAAAGCAGGCTCTCAAGACGTGATATACAGTTGACTGCTGATGAAGACAATAGCCCTTTTTACTTTCTCCCCGAAAGGTATGCTCGTAGTAAATCTGGAAAATATGGTTTGTGGAAAATATGCTCGTAGTAAATCATCTTAGCTCGGGTATAGTTGTATCTCATTCTGTTTGAGATGTGCTTTTAACTTTCTACGACAGGCTACAATTGTGATCTCCCTTTCTCATATATTAATTTATGCAGCTCTTTATCACGTCAGGATCTTGTGAGCTGGAAAATGGCCCTAGAGAAAAGACAGCTTCCTGAAGCTGACAGAAAGGTTCCTCAACTTGTTGTTTTATCTAATATATGTGATAGCCATCTTCTTGGTTCCAAGTGCATTAAACTGAGAAGTATATTTATCAATTGTAATGACTTTTGGCAGATGCTGCACCGCCTTTCTGGTTTTATAGACACTGATAAGATACATCCTAATGCATGCCCTGCACTAGTAGCAGATCTATCTTCTGGGGATCAGGGAATAATTGCTCTTGCATTTGGTAAACCTGTTTAAATATTAATGATGCTTTTTCATTGTGAATCTGTTTAAATACTTAATCATACATCCTTGAACTATTTGAGAATTTTTAAATAGGTCCCTGAACTAAAAATTTTTGTAATTGGATTTCTAAATTTGTTAGTAATTTGTAGTTAGGTCCTTAAACCTAATGTTTTTTAAAATACAATTTATTTAAAAATTTATGGACCTGGTTAAATATTATTAGAAGTTCAGGAACTTGATTAACATTTTTTTAGTTTGAAGAACTAATTAATATTTTTGGAAAATTTAGAGACTCAATATATATGTATATTTTAATTTAGGGACATAGTTAAAAATTCTCAAATACTTCAAGGACTGCATAATAACTATACCTAAAATTAAATTTGTTATTTGTTTACTTATAGTCGTTTCAAATTGGCTTTTGGTTGACTTACTAATTCCCCCGGTTGTATGGGGGGCTGTTTATTGAAGGTTACACCAGATTGTTCCAGCCAGATAAACCAGTGACAAAAGCCCAAGCCGCCCTTGCTCTTGCTACAGGAGATGCTTCTGACATAGTTAGTGAAGAGCTTACGCGGATTGAAGCAGAATCTATTGCTGAAAACGCTGTTACTGCACATAGTGCTTTAGTCGCTCAAGTTGAGAAGGATATCAATGCTAGTTTTGAGCAGGAGCTTTTCCTAGAGAGGGAAAAGATCAATGCAATTGAAAGAATGGCTGAAGAGGCAAAACTCGAGTTGGAAACACTAAAAGCTCAGAGAGAAGACGACAGTGTTGCCTTGGAGAAAGAGCGGACTGCTATTGAATCAGAAATGCAGGTCTTTTCGAAGTTACGGAATGAGGTTCAGGATCAATTACAAAGTCTTATGAATAATAAGTTAGAAATAGCATATGAAAAAGAGAGGATCAAAAAGCTTCGGGAGCAAGCAGAAGTCGAAAACAATGAGATTGCTCATTTACAATATGAGCTAGAGGTTGAACGAAAGGCATTGTCCATGGCCAGGTAAATTCATGAAACTTTTGAAGGCAACTAAAATATGTTTATCAGCTCTCAGTTTTGGTTTCACATAAATGGTAAAAGAAGTGATGCCTCGGAATCACTGGCTAAATTGATTTTTTTCTTCACTTTTTGCCTTTGGTAATGCTGAAGGTGTGAATGAGTTAATAGTGATACTGTAGCAAATCAAACTTGCATTAAGAGAGATATTGAAATCCAAATGGTTTCATGTATGATTTCTTAAGAAAAATCAAGCCAACTAGCTAATATTAGCTTACAGCCTCCCATATCTGCAACCACTGTTGTTACTGCGATATGCTATGCTTGTCATATTACTGCTCGTGTAGAAGCAAGTGAGTAAATGAAATATGAAAAATAAATAAATAGTTACTACATTATTTTCCTACATTTTTTTTTGAATGGCAATTTTTTTTTTTAACGTTTATACTATGTTAATTAGACATTATATTCTGTAATAACTGCTTCCAATTGTATTTTCAGTGCACATTTTTTCTAGGTGTACTTGAATTTGTGCACTGATGTTGCTGGCATATACAGCATGTCCTTTTATCCTTTTATGAGGCTAGTGCTCTTGACAGCTGTTTCTTATCCCACATAAATGAATTGGTTCTTGTTAAAATACAAGAGACTAAGAGACATTTGAATAAACCGTGTATTAAAAAGCACTACGGAGACATTATTATATATAGAGAGATTACAACTAATTACATGATATAGTCAATGTGAGACTATTCTATATACAAATATTCTTAACACTATATTTACAAATATCAACAGTTCTAAAAAAACTTGTTTATTGGTCATATATTCTTGAATCAAAATCATAATCATAGTTATTACTTCTTAGCTTATTACAAACTAGACTAAATGTTTTCAATATCTGGTAATTGTTTGGACTCAGGACTTGGGCAGAGGATGAAGCCAAACGAGTGAGAGAACATGCAAGAGCATTAGAGGAGGCTAGAGATCGTTGGGAGAAGCACGGTATCAAAGTGGTGGTTGACGAAGACCTTCGCAAATTGGCTGAGGCTCCAGCTGAAGTTACATGGCTCAATATGGGGGAACAGCACTCAACTCAAGGATCAATTGACAGGGCAAAAAGCTTATTGGAGAAGCTGAAACGGATGGGTGCAGATGTCAGAGGAAAATCCCGAGAAACAATTGACAAGATCATTCTCATGATTTCCATATTTATATCAAACTTGAAGGAATGGGCATCCAAAACAAAATTTCAGGCTGAAGAATTGCGTGAAACTGCTGTCTCAAAGGCAGGTAAGTCAGCCAATGAGTTGCAGCATAGTGCCGTCGAGTTTGGATTTACTGTGAAAGAAGGTGCTAAGCGAGTTGCTGGCGATTGTAGGGAAGGAGTTGAGAAAATCACCCAAAAGTTCACTCATAAGTTCAAAACCTGATCTCTCTCTCCTTCTGTATCTTTAAATTTATTATTTTTCAAGCTGCTGATTGGTCAGAAATGTAGTTTACTGAGTTCGTTTTTCCTCCTGCTTCAATAGAGACACCAGACACAGACAGTGTCATTGGCAGTTATAACTTTCTATAACTGTCTTTGGATGATAGCAACATAATCAATCATGTGAAGACATGTTTTTGTATAATTGAAACTAATAGCAATTGTAATTGAGGAATAAAATAATTTGCTGCAGTTCAACATTTTTCCTTTACTGCTAAATGGCAGCAGCTGATTCTGAATATGTAAAGACAGAGACATCAAACCATAACAAATGGATTTGGATTCTCTCCTTCACTTTTCTATCCTTTCTCTCTTTAATCATTCAAAATTTTGATGCAGTCAGGATAACTCAGGATAACTGTAGTTACTGTGGATCAAGATCCGACGTTCTAGATTTCAATACATATTTTGATTTTTAAAATAAATAAATACAGAGCTTGAAATCTATACCATCCGATCTCGATCAAATGACTACCGCCATTCTAACAGTGTCCAATTTTGGCTACAGGCAATCTTGTTTAGAGATGAAGAGTAAGGAGAAAAGTGAAGGAGAGGATATAATTTAATAATGAATATGATAAGGTCAAAGCGAAATATTTGAAGCACTTTCTCCTAACAACTTAGTCATTATTGGCGGTTCTTATTTGGATTAGCTTATGTCTATGGCGCACATATCATCTCCTCCCATTTTTATTCTGTCATTCATTCTACTTCTAATCCAATGACCAAAAGACTTTAAAGAAAAATAATTAAAAAAAAATCATTGAAATATAATCAATGGTGGAGATTGACGCGGGACAATGGGCAAGAGAGAATGAATAAAAATATAAAAAAATAAAAATCTTTTAATGCATTTTAGATAGTTCTTATTCATTATGTGAAATTTCTTAAATGTTTTAAATTTTCAGAGATGCATTTTTGGATGCATTTATTTTTGAATAAACGTTAAATATTCCGGAGATGCATCTTCGAAACAATTTTAAACTTCAATTCAGTCCACTCAAAGACCGTTTAAATTTGAAAGGTTTTAGAGATGCATCTTCGTGAATATTTCGGAGATACATCTCCGAAACGTATCAGAATATGTATTTTGTATTGTATGTTGTATATTTGCGTTCAGATGAAGTATAACGCACGATCTAAAATTAAACAATAGACGTACAAAAATAATAAGAGATTAATATTATGTGTGTCGAAAATAAAATAGCAATAAATGTAGAAAATATCGTAGAGTTGAGATCCAAAATGTAGTAAGACCCTTAAAATAAAGTGAAGAGTATAATACTACAACAAAATAATAAGAGACTACTACTGAGTGTGTCATCTCCTCTACCTCCTCTGCTTGCTCAACCTTTTTGACCATCAATCCTCTATTCTTCGACGATGTCTCTGCTTGCTCTACTTTTTTGACCTTCTAGTCCCATCAAAAGCCCTCACTACCTAGTCACTGGGAGTACACATCAAGCCATGGGTGTCCAGCTTCATCAATGCTTTTTTGGGCAACACATTAAGTGATGATCCTGTATCAATTAGCACATGAGACAGAACAACCCCCCTACACTCTATGGATATGTGTAGAGCATGGTTGTGATTTCTCCGAGCGGGAGTTAGATCCAAATCTGTAAAGTCTAAACCATTACCAGCGTTAACATGGGCCACTACCCCTTCAAGTTGATTAACATAAATTTCTCGCGGTACATAAGCCGTGTTCAAAATTCTCAGCAAAGCATTTCTATGCGCCTCAGAGCACAACAACAATGACAAGATCGAGATCTTAGACGGTGTTTGCTATAAGTGATCGACAATTTTGTAATCACTTTTGCGAATGAGTCGCATAAATTCTTCAACATCTTTGGCCAAGGAGTCTCTCTCCCCCTGTTGCTGACTCTCTTCTACTACATCTTTAGCCTTACCTCTGTCGTTTCCTTCCAAATTAGTCTCCGGCGGAGAGAACACTCTACCACTCCTAGTCATACCTCCTGCTCCAACAACATTATTAACAGACGATCCTCCAACTGACGTCTCTACCAACTCTTGTTTATATCCATTGCAAAATACCTCTGCCCCATAGTTCCAAGGAATAACCTTGGTACTCTCATAAGGAATCGGTCCTGGTGTAACGATGATTACCGGTGCTGGCCTCAGCGGCGCTGAAATATTGATTGTTCGGCATGGGATTGAAATCGTGGCGATTTCAACCCGCTCATTGTCAACTTCCTTCATATCTTTTTCTCCTTCTACTCTGTCAAACTGCAAGCTGCCTTCATCCATCAAACCTTGAAGATGATTTCTCAACTCAACACATCCTTCTGGATGCACAACACATCCCTCACAGCCTTCTAAACAACCAGAAAAACCACCCTTCAACAATCTTCTCTTCGCATAGCTCAACAGTGTCTTTAACTCCGCAACGTTAGTTATCAGGTTCAACCTTTCTCCCTCGATAACAACATTTGTTCTGGCTACCCCATGATTCGGCATAGGATTTTGATTCACATTCGGGGTCTCATTCGTGAAATTAATTGCTTTGGTGTCAAGCAGATCTTGCACCTTATGCTTAAAAGCTTTACAATTATCAATGTTGTGACTCGGAGCTCCAGAATGAAAATTACACATAGCATTGGCGTCATAGCCCTGTGGAGGTACGCTAGTAAGCGGTGCCATAGTTCTTTTCTGAACAAGATGTAACTGTAGCAGATGTTGCAATAGTTGAGAGTAAGGCATGAAAGGCGTATCGAACTGCCTGTTGACCATCTTTCCCGTGTCTTGAAATCGGCGCGGTGCAATGGTTGGTTGCTGAGGTACGGCCGAAATGGCTATACTAGCAATCTGTTGCTGTTGAGGTTGGTACTGTTGTTGATGATGTGCTCTATTTCTATTTCTGTAAGATGATACTGAATTCGTGTCCCCTTCTCTTTTCTTTGGGTTCCCATATGTCTTCCTCGCTCCTCCTGATGTAGACCCCTCTCCACTTTGTATTTTTCCCAACTTTATTCCATTTTCCACTCTTTCACCTGTTATGATCAAATCTGAAAAGCTTCCTGTCATGCTCCCAATTAACTTCTCATAGTATATTCCTGGCAGGGTTGCCACGAACATATCAATTAATTCCCGCTCCACCATCGGGGGTTGAACTCTAGCTGCCAGTTCCCTCCAACTCTGGGCGTATTCCTTAAATCCTTCATTGTTTCTCTGCGATAGATTCTGTAACTGTACTCTGTTTGGTGCCAAATCAGTGTTATATTGATAGTGACGAACAAAAGCTTCCCCTAAATCCCTCCAACTCCTGATATGCGTCCCTTCCAGACCCATGTACCACTCTAGAGAAGGTCCTGACAAGCTGTCCTGAAAAAAATGCATTAACAATTTCTCGTCGTCGGAATAAGCCGACATCTTCCTGAAGTAAGCCCTGAGATGTACTCTGGGACAGGTCGTCCCTTTGTACTTGTCAAAATTTGGAACCTTAAATTTAGGGGGAATCTTGACCCCCGGTATTAATCCCAGATTTGACATGTCGAGTCCTAAAGAGTATTGGTTCTCAAGGCTCTTCATCTTTTCTTCAATCATCTTAAATTTTTTGTCTGCCTCTGTCTGAAGGCCCACGTCCAAGTCTCTCATTGAGAATACATCATCCTGATCGTCTTCTTCCCATTGAGGACCTGCAGCCCCATATGCAGTGCCCACACCACCTCCTGCACCGGTTACATGAACTCCTGCTTGGTGACCTCTGCCCGGAGAATTAACAATAGTAGGGATTACATTGGCTTGAGGAGTACTACCATCAGCTTGGGGAGGAATAACAGTAGTCCCTCCATGTAAAACACCATGGCCATCCACCCTGGCTATCAGTGGCTGGACTAGAGTTCTCAGTTGTTCTTGCCCATTGGCTACTCCCTGCATCATGTCCATAAACTATGTCATCCGGTCTCTGAATTCCTGTAACTCTTGTTGTACCTAATCCATGATTCTTTGTTGATTTCCCCTTGTAGAGTACATGTGGAATGTCGGGTCTGCTATCCTGTAAACTCCTGGAAGAAAACCATATAGAGATAAGATTAAAGGTCCCTAGAACACCTGCTATGCAAAATGATAATGATAATGCAAAATGCAAGCATGTATATATGATTCAGGAAGATCTTTCCCTTTGATTCTAGTTACAAGAACAAAACGTAAACAGGAGAACATCAGATAGAATCACAAATCTCTTCTCATAAATAAAATGAGGACGGAAGTCAGCGTACACAAAATAATGTCAAGGGATACAACAGAAAATGATCATACGACCCCATCCAACAATTCTGGTGATGGTCAATACAAGATAATAACAAAAGAGAAGAAAACTAAAAGGAAAACTGCATCAGATGACTCTCTTCAGCCACTGTGACGAGTATGAAATTCCTCTAATAGCTCCTTTGTGTCTGGATGTTCAGGCCTTGCAACCAACGCCTGTATGAGTGAATCCCTTCTGCTGATAACATCCTTCAAACTCTGAGCGTAATCTTCCCAAGCATCTTCTCCGAAAGCATCTTCAAGTCTCGGTTTCTTCAGTTCTGCCCTTATCTTGAATTCTTCCAGCGCTGACAGGGTTTCTCGTAACTTACGATCACTTTCATACTGACGAGACGATTCCAATGAAGATTTTTCATCCTTGATCCTAAGCTATGTCTTCAATCTGCCAATTTTTTTATGGAGCTCATCTTCTCTTCCTTTATTGGCAGTTAAAGTCGCGTTCCACTGACCATTGAACTTGGATATCTCCAGGCACTCCCTCTCCAGCTCTTTTTGTTAGAACACAGATTGGTTCTTAATAATATCTCTATGTTTTGATGATAACTATTAGGAAATTTTGTATTTAAGAATTATATACTCTAAAATTTACTTGAGAAGTTTTTACTGCAGATAGTACAGAAATTAACACTCCAGAAGCAAATCAGAATTGAATAC